GTTGTTGAACAGCTGCCGCGCTTCTTCCCAGAGGGGGCTGCATTCCAATGGTTGGCAGACGTGATCCATGAATATGTGGTTTGCAGATGCTTCGGGATCCCTTCCAAATGAAAAGCACTACATCAAAACAAGTTATTCTCCATTTGGGCCATGATAATGGGCAGAACTGCCTGCCTACGAACTAAGAGTGGTGTTTTTTTAAGCACTGCTAATAACACACGGGTGTCACATATACCACGCTTGAGCCTTGTCAACCCTAGGAAATTTCCCTGGGTGCCAGCTGAGACGGCGTTGAATGTGGTTTAAAGTCAGAATTAGACTGAAAAAACCATGATCGGGGCGCTTTTTGGAAACCGTGGTTAAAAATATGCTCAATTTATGAAAAAAAAATCTATGGGCTTATAACTTTCCCATATGCACCCAGTTAGGCACGTAATTCCCCATTTATATTCCCATCCAGCTCTGAAAATCACACACACACGAGCATTTCAGTCTTCATGAGCCTGATTTTCTGAAGAGATGAGCCCCCACAGCGCCAATTCACACCGTGTGTTCAGCACTATCCCTAGACAAAGAAACAGTAAAATAGTTTGTAAATATTTTGGACTCCCCCCCTCCCCCTCTAATTTTGCAAAAGATTAAAATATTTCAAACCAGCTAAACTGAAAAAAAAAATTTGACGAAAGATTTTTGTTGATATTTTGGGTGCTCTTTTCTGCCAAATTGTCGATGAAAAATTGGGTTGAAAAGTCAAAATGGTTCAACCAACTCTTCTCAACCCTTCTAAAAATCCAGCCAAATACTCATGGCATGGCTGAGTCTGCTGTGTAGTAGCTGAGACCCCACCCTTCTTCCGATAGGCACAAACTTGTGGCACACGGCAGCGTGGCCACCATTTTAGTTCTGTGTAGTTTAACTACATACTTTGTGCTTGAGGGACCAAGTCTGACGAATGCTTCCGGGTCCAACCAACATGGCTCCCTTTAACATCTGGAGCGCTAGTAATTCCCATAAAACCATGGTTCGGTTGTTCAGCCCCTCTACCCAAATCAGGACTAAACCAACAGCTGTAACACGGTGCACTCCTATGGCACTGGTTTGCCAACAATCGGAGTTTGCTGTGGCCTATTCTGTCTCACAAACACCTTGTGAGGTAGGCGAGGGATATTAAAGGATCATTTCATGAGACAGTAAAACCGCAGCCACCGCTGCGGTGAGGCCCGGCACAGCCATGCCATGCAATGGGCTAGGACCCCAACTGAAGAGCGGCACATCCGGCTGAAACTGCAGGTGGACATGGGGGAGGAAGAATGTGGTTTTTCTAATAATTTGGCCAGGACATAGGGGGCTAAAACCTCTGCTCTACAACATGTCCTATGGGATTTTGACTGCGCACCAGCTGCCAGCAGGATCTTTGCTTTGTCTTCGCATCACTTAAGAGCATAAACCAATTGCCACGCAGGCCGACCTAGCCCTATGCTACGGCATGGACTCCAATGGAAAATGTCTTTCAGCGCCAATGGAGCATTCGAAGGTAGCCAATAATTGCTGAGCAGATGAGAAGGCAGCTCCCTGTCTCTCGCGGCCTGAGGAGTAAGTGAGCTAAGGAGCTGATTTCATGTCACAACCTCTCGCTCTCTGGCCTCCCCAGCCCCACTTTCTTCTCTTTCGTTACTGACCACACTGAAGGGCGAGGGGGGAACACAGGTCCCTGCTCTTCTGATTGGGAGCAGGGCGGATGAATCAAGGAGGTGTCGTTAAATCCATCACTTTTCATCCAGCAGCTCATGCAGCTCCTCCGAATTTCTAGTCCCGCTCCACAACTGGGGTAATTCAGTAGCGCTGTTAGCTGCTGTAAACAAGCATAGCTGCACCGAAGCTAAGGATCTGGCCCTCTTTCTTTCTATAATCTCACCGAATCCCCCATCTGTCCCCCCTCCCCCATGGATGAAATAGCAACAGATCGCTAATGAAAACCAAAAAAGGTGAGGATTACAGGTGGAATATCATCCCACCCTGTTAGCAGAGCAATTGGAGAGAGAGGAAGTCACCCTGGGGGAATAGAGGACAGGTGTCAGCTCCGTTTAGCTCCTTGAGCATGAATCTGCTGCAATCCAGGAAGCGTGGACTGAATCCAGATTGGGGATGTCTTCCAAGGATTCCTGATGGCTGCCGGCTGTGGTAGGAGAGACGAGTATGTGAAGTGGGAGGGGAAAGGGTCTTGTCTGATTCCCTTTCCCGCCTTTTGCTCCTATTGTTCGCTTTATGGGTCTGTGAACATGGTGCACAGGAAGGCAAGGGAGTAAAGGCCTTCTGAAGAGCCAGGCACAGAGCAAGAAAGGTGGCTGGCGTAAGCGTCCTCCTTTTTCCTGTACTGTCCCTCAGCCAGATCGACAGTGCCCTTCTAAGCCAGCCCTTGGCTTCTCCCGCAGCTCTGCCAACGCATCTTTTGAACCGCACTGCTATTCCAGTCCTGGGCACACCCCGCACTCAGCTCTGCCTTTGCATCTAAACTCCTACTCTGCCGCATTCCCTGCTAGGCCAGTCTTGGGTTTCCCCTCCTCAGCTTTGCCAATCCCGTTCAGTTCTGACTTGCAGCCCCAACCCCGCCATTCTAGATTAGAACTGCATGAAGGAAAGAGAAAAGATTCAGTACAGCAATGAGAATTCTGTGTGTCCTCAACCCACCCATATCTAGGTTTATCTGCAGGCTGTCTGAAACCTCCTGTTCTCAGGAGATACAGAGAGGCCTTCCCCAGCTTGCGTGGTTGGTGTCCATAGCCTCTGTTCTCAGGAGATATGTAGAGGCCTTCCCCAGTTTATGTGGCTGGTGTTTATAGCCTCCTTGCAGAGTAGAATGAGGAGATCCTTGGAAGCATATGAAAAAATGCCAGGAAAATGTAAGAAAAGCAATGCAAAAATTTATATTTTATTTTAATTCAAAAATTTAAAATAGCTTTCAAATTCAGTAAAGTATGCCTGGACACAATGAAAAGCCTCATATACAGAGACAGATAAATTAACTTGAATATACTGCAGACAAGCCAAGTGTATGTATAGATTACATATTTACATTTCTTTAATGTAAACCATATTTATACATTTTATTACATTTACAAAAAAGCCAATCTTCCACTACTGTTTACTACAATAATGAAAAAAAAACCCCATTTACATTGTGTCTTTTTTTAACTGTACAAACTTTTGTTTCATAAAATATATCTCTGTACAAAAGAGGGATTTTTCTTTCTTTCTTTTTTTAAACATAATGCAAGTCCGATGGGCACAAGAATGAAAAATATGTCACATTTCATGACCCAGCCAGCTTGCAAAAAAAATGGGGCAGTACCACCTTTGAACTGTTGCATGAACAGCCATGAAAACTGGTACATAATTGGTTGAAAGCAGCTAGTGCTGTGTTTAAATAGAGCCACAGTTCATCCTGCCATGCTATTAAAAGACATCTGGTGGATTCTAAACTTGTATGTATATCCTGTACTGTTGCATTATCTGAACGAATCAGAAAGGCTGAGAAGTAGAATGTGGGGCCCTTAATTCTTTAGTTAACGGAGTGAGTGTGTGTGCGTGTGTGTACGCCACTGCCCTCTACTGAACAGAATCAGAACTGCTCAAATATGTGTCATAGACCCTGTCCTGCTCACAGCTGGCGAAGATTCTAATTTAGGTCAAGTGGCAGGGGGTCTGTATGTTGGAAGCAGGACGACGTCATTTCTGTCCCCACTCTTGGTCTGAAGTTCTGAAGCAGAACAGTAAGTGTGAAGGTCGAGAGGGCTGCCAATTTGATACAATAATTATCAGCAGAGCATGAATGATTGCAAGAGGATGCTCTCTTGCTAATTGCACAGTTCTCCTTCTAGGGGAGCTGGGTCCTCACACTATACCATGGGGTCACTAAAAAGGATAGGAATAAGGCTCTGTGCAATCAACTGGGGAGCTTATTTGGTTGAACTAGTGGCTGGGATAATGGAGGGAGACCAGAGAGAGGTCTCAAATCTTCAAATCTGAAGCTGGTCACCTATTTGCAGGCAAAATAAAAATCACTGGGCGGATCCTTAGCTTGGTTACACCTTTGAGCTCACAGGAGTTACTCCACATTGACACGTGCAAAGGCAAGACGCTGGCCCTGTGGCTATGAAACTGAATGCTGCTGCACACTTCAGTCACGCGGTATGGAGTTCTTTTCTTATACAGCCGTCTATCTCAATTTGCAATTGGATCCAGACCCTCTATCAATCCACACAACTGGGGACGGGGATGGAATGGGACCCAGAACCCACAAAAATCTTTGCTTTAGAGGGAGCTGCTCATCACCACTTTAACCCCCCACTAAAAAGGGAACTCCCCCTCCCCCAGTAGCACCAGGATGCCGTCTCAGCCTCATCAATGCATTGGGTACGGCCTGTTGCTAGTGTCCTGCTCGGGGAGCTGCTCTTTGACAGCACGGGCCCACTACCCAAACTGTCGAGGAGCAATACGTGAGCAGCCCCTGGCACCTCACTGGCACCACTGGCGTTCACTGCAGGATCGGCGCCTTGGGTTTTCATAGATTCCAAGGCCAGAAGGGACCACTGTGATTATCTAGTCTGACCTCCTGTATAACACAGGTCGGAGACGTGCCCCACAGTAACTCCTAGGGCAGATCCGATAGAAAAACTGCCCATCTTGATTTAAAAATGGCCAGTGATGGAGAATCTACCACAACCCTGGCTAAGCTGTTCCAGTAGTTAATCACTCACACTGTTACAAATGTACGCCTGCTTTGAATACGCACACATACACAAACACACACGCCTGCATGCGTCTCTTCCCAATCAATCTGAGCAGCGTGGTTCTGGGAGCGCAACTGGCCTTTTTTTGGCAGGCTGGTTGTTCAGCAAACAGGCTGTAGATCACTGCTTATTGTAAGACAGCTGTCTAAATAACAGATAGAAGTAAAAATAAATATATCTATATCTCCAGTAAAGGGGAAAGCAAAGAAAAGAACTACAGTGTGGTTTTAATCAGACAGGAACCTAGACAATATTAGACGGGGGAAAGATACTGTTTAAAACCAAACTTAAATGTAAATAACACCTTGGTTTTTTTTTTAAGTCTTGTTTCCTCTTCAGTAACAAAAAGCTGCTTCTTCTAAGTTCATTTGACACATACTGGTCTAAGTCTGCTGCATTTGGGAAAAGCGGTCGGCTTTATCAGGATGTGATAAAACGGCGCGGTTGCTTTCTCTGACTTCAGCCCTGACTAAGAAAGAACTACTCAAACCAAGCAGAATTAAATCCTGAATCAAAAGATCAGTCTCATCACCAAAGCGTCATTCTTTGAAGGGAAAAATAATAACATCAGGTCTTCTTATCTGCTTTCATTGCGGTCAAAACAACCTTTTGGCCTCTGAGAAATATAGTCCACGGCGCTGCATTGAAATTAAAGCCCTTACTGTGTTGCCGTGTGGAGGATCAATATGGAAAGGGCAAAGGTTTCTGAACTCACTAGGGGAAAAAAAATGATCTGTATTTGTAGGGTCTATTTTGAAAAAGAAGTTTTCTTTTTTTCTCTCTCCCTAAATTTGTGTGTGTGTGGATGTTTGTGTAAAGAGTTACAGAAGATTAGCAATCATTAACGCTGGGACAGGAGGGACAGAGAACCATTGGTTGAGAGACTCAATTCCTATTTGCCCCATTGACCTCTGAGATTTAGAGAAAGGATGTTGAAATTAACAGCAGAAACAGAAGAAAACCAAGGGAAAAAATCAATAAGAAGGGAAAAAAAGATTTTCCTCCTCTCTAACCAAAAAAAATCAGAACTTTTGCATCACTAAAAGCCCTTGCCAAAAACCAAAACAAAAATCAACAACAAACAAACCAACATCTCTCCCTTCCAGAAGTCGGACGTCTCAGTTACACCCGTAGGCATTTTGTGCCGTGCAACCTGAAGTCCATCCCTTTGCCAAGAAAGCTTTTTCCCAAAAGCAATGGGGTGTTGGTTTCACAGAAGCCCCCAACAACTGTTTCCTCTGCTAGAAAAGTACTCATCCGGCATTAACTGCTTCTCTTGAGATAATGAACAGCAGGTTGGCAAGGCAATTCAGAAGGCGATCACCTGCCTTCTAAGGCTCAGCAGCTGGGCGCTGTCTGATTTCTGAGCAGCAACACTGGGATCTTGAAGTTGGCCAGGAGGAACTGGAAGTGGCTCAATGGAGGGGAAAAGGAGAGGTTCTCCCGAGCTGTGCTGGAGGAGACACTTTGGTTGGCTTGATTATCCACTGCAAGACGTGGTGGGTGGGTGAAGATGAGGAGGATGGATGGCAGCCTCGCAGGCTCTCTCTGGAGTAACTCAAAGTCCAACGAAGGAGCAGCAGGTTCTCCACAGCCTCAGCATGACTGGGGTAGGGAAGAGAATGACGGAGGACTAGTGAGGTGAAACACAATCATCAACAGGACACCTGCCTGTGGAGAATTCTGGGGCAGTTGGGGAGGAAAGGAGAGAGAGAGAGGAGCAAGTTATTATTAGACATGGAAAAACCAGAGAACCAGAGGCAGTTTCACTATCTTTCTGAGGCCAGGGCTGCACTAGAAACTTTTGCTGATGTAGCAATACTGACTAGGAGTGGGGATGCTGCTTATATTGGCAAAAAGAAGTACTTTTGCTGGTGTAGCTTATGTTGATCGCCAAACCTGTCTAAGATGTACCAGCAAACACACTTTTTGGTGATATTTTCTAGTGTATACCTGGGCTAAGATATACCTTACCTTACACCCATTACCATAATATCTGAGCACCTCACAGTTTGTAATGTATTTACCCTCCCACCCCCACGCCTCTATGACGTAGGGCAAGGCTATGATTCCCACCGTACAGATGGAGAACTGAGGCACAGACAAGCTAAGTGACTTGACTATGGCCACAAAAGAAGTCTGTGGCAGAGCCGGGACTTGAAGCCAGTTTTTCCAAGTCTCAGGCTACTGCCCAAACCACTGGGCCACCTTGCTCCTCTCCTCACACTGTGCACAAGGCAGTCTCAGTAACAGCATCATGGTCTCTGCTTAAAGATGGAACCAAACTGCAGTGATCAGATCCAAAGTGTTTGGATGTGTGGATCTAAGGTGTTGGGGACGATCTCAAATCTCTTCCCCTGTATAATAGCCTGGTGTATCTGCCTGCCATTGATGGATTCCCAAACATTTGGGTTCAAGCACTGGCGCTGACTGACTGAATGAGTCTCTACTCCCCTTAACAAAAGCTGAGATGAGTCACAGATCTGACTGTAATAACTTTCTAACTGTTAGGTGCTTATCTGAGCCCAATTACCACGGCATCTAAGCACCTTACAATCTTGCAATGTATTTATCCTCCCAACGCCCCTGTGAGGTAGAGCAGGGCTGTTATCCCTATTGTACAGAGGGGACGGAGGCAGGGAAAGGCTCAGTGAGTTGCCCAAGGTCACACAGGAGGTCTGTGACAGAGCCAGGATTCCAGTCCTGATCTTGAGTTCCAATCCAGCGCCTTCACCACAAGGCTATTCACACTCCCCGAATTCACAAGGGACTCTATCTCAGGCTCCTGCTGAAACCACTAGGCGAGATTCCCTACCTGCAATTTTGTATTTTTATTAAGGGAATGATTCCAGTTTGAAATTTGGACTCACTTTCCCCCTCCCCCCACCAGGTGTCTGTTCTCCTCACTGGAGGGGGGGGGAGGGCAGGGGTGAGCATGTGCCTCTCGGCGGGTTGAACTTAGAATTCCAAAAGATGCCAATTAAACGTTCGGTTTTCACAGGCAAACAGGGATCTGTATGGATCAACACCCTTTTCCGTCCAACTAACAGCGCGGCACTTGGGCCAACGAGATAGATAGATCTGCGGGTGCCTTCAACAGCCAAGTATCAAGTTTTCTTTTCTCGCACTCACCGCACGAGAGGATGAGTGCTATACCGCCGTGCACACGGTGCTGACAGTGAAATCTGCCTCGTTGGCCATGATGTCTGTGGGTTGTAGGTTTCGGTCGTACATCGGGTTTTCAAACGTCGCTCGGACGTTGGTGTTTTCATGGCCGGCATAACCGTTGAACGGTACTTTTGGTCTTCTCCTGCAGGGTGCCGGAAACAGAATCCAAAGAGATCACGGCTAGTTCCTCACGGTATCTGGCTTGTGACCATTTCTCCCAGCTCAGATGCTGAGCCAAAACAACACTGAAAGGTCTAAGAGATGAGCCTGGGAACTTAAATTAAATAGAGTCTGCTGGATGCTAAAAACCACGGACTTAACAGAGACCCTGGTTTTATGGCTCGTTATAACGATTTGTAACACACCCCACTGCCAGCTAACCCTCCATTATCCTATGACTGCGGAGGGGTTTATTGCCTACTTCATTTTAAGTTGTCTCCTACAGTATACGTGAACTTCTTAGGCTTAACAATCTGTCCCACCTTGTATTTAGCTTGGACATCCTGGTTACCTACCCCCGACCTGAAAAAAAGAGCTCTGTGAATTTCAAAAGCTTCTCCCTTCCAATAAAATTGGTCCGGTAAAAGATATTACCTCACCCACCTTGTCTCACAGAAAGTTCTAATGAATTCACTACACTCGAGCAGGGTCAGATGTGCCCAAATGGATATCTACAGGATATCTCTGGGCGCTTTCTTAGTTGTATCAATATTACCTCATTGGTAGTGCCCTGATGGCATTAAGCAGGAATGGAGGGCCAGATATTTAGGATCTGGCCCAGAATCGCTAGCAGGACAGGTCTGGAAAAGAAGTCTTGCTATCTGATCGGGACTTGAGGTTTTTCAGAGACACCCAATTGCCTGCTGTAAGGCAAAACAAGATGAAGCTCCCCCATCTTGTTCCTTTCAAGACAAAGGGTCTTGAGGAAACGGTACCGGATCCAAGACCAAAAAACAATGGAAGGTGAGATCTGTTTGCAGCCTGCAGAGCCTGCAAGGTCATCCTAAAAGGTGCCAAGCAACTGGGACTTCCACTGTCCTCAGCTGGAGTTGTGGGTAATTCAGCTATTCTTAACCAGGCCTTTTGGGCCAAATTTTGAGACGAGCTCAGGGCCAGGTTCTCAAGCATTCAGTGCCCACAATTTTCCATTGTTGTGTCTCGGTTCCAAGGAGTAAGCTGCGTGAATAGGACTCCTCCCCGAGTGGTGAGCAGCACTGGCATTACCAAGATGTAAATATCTGTCCTTTGTGTAAGCCAGCTAGCAATGATGCTCAGCTCACTAGCACATGGACTGAGGGGGAGACATTCAAAAGCACCCAAGACGGTTAGCAGCACAAATTCCACCAGCGTTCTCTGAGACTTGTGCTTCTAAACCCCTTAGGTACTTTTGACAATCTCACCCTTAGCTTTCCTATCATTGCAATGCCCAGATTTCTAAAGGCGTCATTGGCCACCCTGGACCAGACCATGGGGTGGGCAAGTCCTGTATCCTACCTCCTGCAGTGACCAACATACATGAAGTTTCAAACCAAAGCCACAGCGCTCGCTGTAAAGCATCAATCCTGAGAAAAAATTTCTTTGCCACACCTGCAGGATCAGTCTTAAACTGAAGCATGAGATGTGCTTGCCTTATCTAACCTGCCATTGCTACAAATCTTCTTAGCAGTTGTTAAATTACCCAGTCCTTTGCAAATATGCTGCTACAGTATTTCCTCACCTTACCAACCACATCAGAAAGCAGAACTATCAGGAGCTCTCTTAAGCTAAGCTTGCAAATATTAATATTCCCCTCAGCACCTAGCTCTTTTCGATCCCATTTTCTCCATACATTGCCCCTCGCGGCCCAGCAATGAAACAGGTTTTTTTAATCGCTTCGGCTCCTGAAACCTACCTGTGTTTGTAGAGATAAAGCACAAACCCTGCAATAATCAGGGCTATGAAAGGCACAAGAATGGCTGCTGCCACAGAACTGCTGTTCGATGCAAAATGATGTCCTATTGATTCGGGATCGTTTTCAATCAGGCTGATGTCTGCAACACAACGAAAGTAAATACGTTTAAACCCCAGCTGCTGGGAACTGGGGTTTGCTCAAGTTCTGCTAGAACCGGTTCATTCCATGCTTCAGCGTAAAGATCATTTCAAGTTTTGGATTCATATGCAGGCTGGACTGCAGCTATAGTACAATGCATAATGTTGCCTGGTTTGAGGTTTCTACATTGACTTCATAGTAAAAACAAAACAAAACAGCAAAGAACTAAGTCAAGTAAAAATACTAACACCAGAATGCTCAAGTGTCAGTGCCTAAAGGTAGGGTTCTAAGGGGGAATGCTCAAAGGTACCAATCACAGGCTCCCAACACAGGCGAGAGGAGTGAGGGGTAAATTTTTCTAAGACCCTCAGTGATTTAGGCTAAGTCCCATTTTCAAAAGTGACTTAGGCACTTGGGAATTGCAATCCCATTGACTGCTCAGACCTACGTCTCTACTGAAAATGAGACGTAGGTGCTTTCTGTAAATCATACCCTAAATGCAATTGGAAGCCAATGGGACTTAGGCTCCTAAATCACTTAGACATGTAGGATAATATTTTCAAAAGTGCCTAAGTGCCAGGTGTGCCTTCAAAAATTAACCCCCCATTTGAAAAGCAGGCTGTTCAGTTTGAAGCTTCACGTTAGCACCAGAGCTTTGAAAATCCCAGCCTGAAAACATTAAGAAGAATCAGTTGTGTCTCACAAACCATTTTCTGTACTCTCTAAAGTAATTCTCTGGCACTCACAACCGTAGCATCCGAGCACCTCACAACCTTTAATGAATTTATCCTCATGTACCCCTGTGAGGCAGGGCGGGGCTATGAACTGCATTTTAAAGATTAACTGAGGCACAGAGAGGCTAAGGCCCAGATCCTCAGAGATATTTGGGCTCTTATCTTTCACCGATTTCAATGGGAGTTTGGAACCTAAATGCCTTTGAGGATTTGGGCTTAAGCGACTTGCCCAAGGTCACACATGATGTCTGTGGCAGAGGAGGGAATTGACCCAGGTCTCCCAAGTCTCAGGCTGGCGCCCAACCTACTGTCAGAGGAGTATTTTGTTAAATGAATAAAGTAGAAAAAAAGTCTAAAAGTAAAGGCCATGATTTTCTAAAGCAACTAGTGACTGGGGGAGCCTCAAGTTCAGGGGGTGAACTTGAAGCACCTGGTTTTCAGAGGAAGGGGTGTTTCCTAAGAGCCCCTCCAAAGTTCCCCTCAGGAGCCAGTTTTGCCTGTGCCCTCAACACCAATCTGCCCATCACTGCTTATTAATGACTCTCCCGGGTTTGACTGGGGAGCAAGTGAACGCAACACATTTCCTTTCAGAGACAGCTGGCACCTGGCCATGGAAATAAACTGCGGAGTTTTCGAAGCGCTGGCTTAACGCTGCTCTGTACATAAAACAGCGATGAAAATCGCTGTCGCTTGTTTTTTAAAAAAACAAAGAGAGAGAAAGGAACTACCTGCTGCCCTCAAACAAAAGTTTTGAAGGAAACCTGGTCCAGAAACAGTCCTGCTTTGTAATTCGACCGTCTCCTGGCCCCCACCAGGGGACTGTCGGACAAGAACTGCTTTGGTTGACTTGTTCGCGTAGGACTTTGCACAATGCCCCTGGACTGGTTATGTCTCAAGGGCAGGCTTTTATTTCTGAAGGGTTTCCCAGCACATCTAGGGCTGAGACCTTAAGGGCAGGAAGTCTGTTTGTCTCTCTCTTATATAGATCCCTTATGGGGGTATAGCCTGCTCAGAACAGGATGGGGTTCTGACAGGAGTCAAGGAGCTATACAATCATAAATAAAATTGCCCTGATTTTCAGAGGCACTGGGCTGTTGTAACACCCATGGCAATCAGCAGGCACTGCAGGTACTCAAGATAACATTTTCACAAGTACCTAAGTGATTCAGGAGCCACTGAACGTCAATAGCACTTAGACTCCTAAGTCGGGCACTTCTGAAAATTTTACCCTTCATCCTCAAAGCCTTTGGAAAACCAAGTCACCTTTCCAGGTGCTTCAATATGGATTTAGGTAACTAACTTTAGGAACAAAATTTTGAAAACACTGGCATAGAGTTTTAGTCTCGAACATCACCTGCTATGGGCTGGCGCACAGAAACTATGCCCCCAAATTTGCAAGAGACAAGTTTCACCCCAGAGGTAGCTGCATTTCAGTGGTGGGAGGAGTGATTTCTCTGTGTGTGTGTATGTGTGTGTTAAAGATGTGCCCAAACTGCACAGTTCAGATTGGACCCAAGCTTTCTTTAAATGTGGAATTGTTCATGTCAGTATTTTTGTTATAGGCCCATCGCTAATGCATAGCGTGAGTCTATGTACAGTGTGTAAAGTACTTTGGGTGTCTGTGGCAGGAAAGGTGCTCCATGTCAATATAAGATACTCTTATTGTGATATGCCAATTTTGTTAAGAACCCCCTTGTAAACTTTCCTTAAAGTTTTACTGACAGAGCCCTCTGGACATACGACACCAGAAAGGAGCCAACTAACATCTGCATGGGGCACTTGTACTCTGGGAAAATATTGAGACCTATAACAACCAAGAAACAGCACATGGGTCTCCTGAGTGTGGTTTAATAAGAGGGGAGATGCAGCACATGTCTCCAGTACCGCTCATGTTCCCTGTACTCCCATGTTAATGCTGGCCCGCTAGCAATTGGGTGATTGCAGACAGGGGTGGAAGAGGAGCAGTGGGGCGACTGCTTATGTTGTCATGCTCAGAGCTGCAGTAACAGCAGGCTAATCGTATCTCAAATACTAGCAAGCAACAGCTGATGGAAAACCTAAGAGTCAGTTCTCTAGCAGAAAGACTCCAGTTCTGTCTGCTGTACCCAGGTACTCCAAAGGCCCCCACCACTACAGGACACGAACATGTCAGAAATAGTCATGAATGTGTCCTCAGAACACCCCCACGAGGCAGGAAAGTAGTTTCACCCCCTTTAGATGAGGGGGAACTTAGGCACAGAAAGGTGGAGTGGCTTGACACTGGACAGTGACAGAGCCACGCCTCAGGTCTGCCAGCTGCCAGTCCAGTAGGTAGCATGATTTCTGGCTGGCAGTGGGGAGTTTTGCTATTACTTCCAATATAGCCAAGATTTCACCCACAGGAGTCCTGGCTCCACAGTCTCTTACTCTAACAACTAGACCACATGGGTTGTCTTTTCCTTTGGCTTCATTACCGATATTGATCTTTCTGCTATCCTTAAAGAGGCGTGTTTTCGCCTACATTGACTCTGCCAATCCCCCTGCCATAGAGAAAGCTACCGCCTTATGCTGCGGATGTAAGGGGACGTCTACACTGGAAAAAAGGTGTGTTCTAGGGTGACCAGATGTCCCGATTTTATAGGGACAGTCCTGTTTTTTGCGTCTTTTTCTTACATAGGCCCCTATTACCTCCCACCCAGTGTCCTGATTTTTCACATTTGCTGTCTGGTCACCCTAGACTGTGTTCTTAACCTGGGTGTAACTCAGGTTACAATAGCGGTGAAAACACGGCAACTCAACTTTTAACTCCGGTTAGCAGCACAAGTGACAGCCTGTAGGGGAGCCTGGGTTTCAACTCAAGCTGCTAACCTGAGTTAAAAGCCGAGTTTCCATGTCTTCACTGCTATTTTAACCTGAGTAAGCTAACCTGAGTTAAGAACATCCTTTTTTTTTTTTGCAAAGGCTAGACATCCTTTGCATGAAATTACCAATGCAGAGGTCAGTCCTTGCTTCAGGAGGAGGCGGTTGAGAGTAAGGGAGGAGGCCCGGGTGTTTAAAAGATGGACAGATCAAACAGCCAAAGCAGCGAGGAATATTGGACCAGATCCTCAGCTGGTATAAAGTAAGTGCAGATCCACTAACATCAGTCGGATGAAGCCAATTTACACCGCGTGTAGATAAGGCCCGGTATATTTGAAAACCAAAATGCAGGAATGGTAAAACGCTTCATGTTTTCAAACTTTCACCGGTGCCGAAATCCATCTTAAACATTGAAATAATAAGAAGACAAAATTTACCGAGTCTCTGAAGGCCAAACTGCCCAAACCCTTTGCCGCGTACAAAGCCCTGGTATACAAAAGTGCCGCTTGACGACTCAGACGAGACCTGTAAGCGTGGGAGCCCAAATAAATCATATTTACAATGGAGTCTCAAAAATTCATCGTCTCTTACTGCAGATGTAACACGACCCTGGTGGTTTGGCCATAAATCTGTTCAAAGCCCAGTGGGCAGCAGAAGCATGGATACGTTTACTCACCCAAAGATCAACTTAGCTCAGTAGCCGATATTAATATTCATGATGTGCTCGGTTAATATTAGAAGCATGGCCACATACAAATGACACTCTCTCCTGTTCAATGTATATTATTTCAGAGGGTGAAATTCACCCCAGTGCAACATGGGGCGCATAGACGTAATTTCCATTGAAGCCTTATTTTGAACTTCAAGTGCTGTAAAGATCTCATGCTGGCCCCTGGCACAGGGGTGAATTCTAATCTTAGCATCTTCAGCAGCTGACTTCATTGACAAAACCAAGGGTTTGTTCCTTTTGGTCTTGCAGAGCCAACCCAGGTTTGGGTGAAGGAGCGGAGTCTGTTCTGCTTTGGCTAGCATCAAAAGAATTGCCAGCTAAAGTTTCAGACTATGGAACATTTATTAGAGGTGAGGAGAGGAGATGCAGAAAGGACCCAGCGTGATTCTCAGATGCCAGATGGAGTCTGTAGCAATGGCAGCTCGAAACATAATCCCGTGACATGTAAGATGCAGGGCTGGCTCCGGGGTTTTGGCCGCCCCAAGCAGTCAAAACAAAACAAAACAAAAAAAAAGCCGCGATCGCGATCTGCGGCGGCAATTTGGTGGGAGGTCCTTTGCTCCCAGGCGGAGTGAGGGACCGTCCGCCGAATTGCCGCCGAATACCTGGATGTGCCGCCCCTCTCCGGAGTGGCCGCCCCAAGCACCTGCTTGAGAAGCTGGTGCCTGGAGCCGGCCCTGGTAAGATGAGCGAATTTACCACGGTAACTATTGAGAGAATGGAAGCCCACCATTGATTTTCTCGGTAGTCTTGCTTCCAACTCTACTCTCTAATTGCATAGAATACTGGCATCCGTCTCGCCGGATGCCCCACTGGGTGTCCGGAAGTCCTGCAAAGTGCCTGTTTGTTAGGAGATTCTAGCTGAAGGCACAGAGCGGCACTAAACAACTAACGGTTGAGTCTAACGGAGGAAAAATTTGTGCATAAAACAAGACCAACAAAGTATCCAAACTCTTGTAATGCACCGTTTGCTGCAGCACATGAAGTTTAGTGCTTGGCTCCCAACAGCAGCTTGAGAAGCGCAGCAGCTGGATTTTACCAGAGACTCCACATTAGCCACCTGTTTACGAGCAGAACTTGCTTCGTCTTTGCAATCTCTTCCAAGTTTATGCATAGCATTAATTTAGTTCAATTGCACAGAAAGCTGAAAGCATTAAAAAAAAAACAACCCAAAGAACCCAACAACTTGTTCCTGGGGGGGGGGGGGGAAGTCTTGTTTGTAATAACTGCCGCACATACTGCAGATAACAGAGATAGCCAGAGCCAAGGCTGCATCTGGTCATGGGGTCAATCAGATGAAGTCTCCTTCTAAGCTCCAGGAGGCCTCTGAGGCACATGTGAAGTTACCAGAGACAAAAGCTGGTGTGGGAAGCCAAGTCCTCAGGGAAAGATTGGCTCTTTTGGATGTTAAACCGAGACATAATGCTTGAGTTGGAATTAACCTTCTTGGCTTCTTCTTTTGCGTTATCTGGAGAACATATGGCCATAAGTGATAGCAGAAGGGCTGCTTGTGCAATGTTAATCTAATGCACTGGCAGAGAGCATTGCATCCCCCTTTAGCAGCAGAGGATAACAACCTACTACTGCTACCAGCTAAGTGAGTTACTCTTTCAGCTCAGGTGGCAGAGGTCTGTGCTGTGGTTCTCAAGGTCAGACTTTGCTGATAACCCATGAAGGGGCTGTTACACTAACACACACTGTCACGCAAGAGGGTTGTGTACTTACAGTACACATTTGCACATGTGCCGATATACTTACGTGCCCATCTAAAGCCCATTTATCATTCTTGAACTTGTTAACAAAGATCTCCACTGGTCCTGTTATCTGATAAACCTGGAGAAGTAGGTGCATGTCTTCTCTCTTGTAAATGCCTGGAAAAGAACACAGGGGTTTTACCAATCAGCCATTCTTGGTCTAGCAAACCTGGCAGGTGCCCTATTTCGATATGGAGGTGTGGGGGCTCAGCCAGCGGAACAAATAGTCTGAGATGATAATTTATAGAATAGCTTCTGAGAATTTTTTACCGGAGCCAGAGATGGAGGCACAATAACTGCTTCTTCCCAAAGCAAGAAACAACTCCTGCGCCATATAAAAGTGTCACTGGGAAGCGATAAAACCAAAACAAACCACCACCCCACAGACCTGCCCAGGATAATAAACCATCTGGAGGACGGGAAGAACCTCGCCTGTCAGGGTTTAAGCTTTATAACCAGTTCATTATAGGAAGCACGGAACGGAGGCTAATGAGGCAGGAGGTGTTTATGCCTTTTCACCTCATTTGTATGAACTAACTGTGAATCTGCCACTGCAGAACCAGGCATGAGCTCAGCACTGGCTTTCAGCTGGAATTAGAGCAAACAAAAGTCTTTATCTTATATAGAAGCAACTCCAGGTGCAGCAACTCCTCGGTTTCAATCTCTAACGCTATCAAAGAGCGGAGGTTTCAAACCTCAGCGGTTCTGTCGAAGATCCAGCAGGCAATCAATATCATTCACAAGTCAGAACAACGCTGCTTCAGTTTGTGACTCCAAAGGCCACCGTTTCAGTGCAAGAGTCTGACTGCACCTGCCACGGTGAGTGTGGATCCATAGACGCCGCCGTGCTAGGTCTCCTTACCTGACACCAGCAGTTCCACGCCGCTGTGGTCTATCAAAGTAGCATTGACTTTACTGGTAGTGGGATCGAAGCTGGTGACAGAGAGCATCGCGGGCTGCTTCTTTCCCATGTATTCGTAAGAGCCTTTCCACAGAGAATTCTTTGCAAACACATCGGCGGGAACTGGAAACAGTAAGAAAGAGGGGTGGGGAGGAAAGAGGGGGTTTTGAGCAGAGCTGAATGAATGCAAGGTATATTCTACCATATTGCTCGATGACTGATAATATTGTGAACATCCCTTGGGAGGAAAAGAAGACAAAGAACAGGCAGAAAAGACGACAAAGAACAGGCAGATCCGTAGGAATGAATTTATTTAAAGGTGCAATTTCAGCTGGGTTAAAAATGTATTTAAAAAAAGTCTAATATGAATAGAAAATTGTTTGTCATGTTTGGAAACTCGGATGCACAAAGATCTCCCTAAACACATGAGAAACACAAAACGTAACAGACTAGAAACTAAAGGGAGACTGATCAGTCTGGTTTCCTTGTTCAAGTGGGGAAAGGGTAAACAGGAAACAAGCAGCACAAAATGTCAAAAGTATTGATAATATTTGTATTAGAGTACTGCACAAAGACCCTGGCTGTGTTTGAGGACTCATCATGCGAGGAGCTGTATATACACATAGTAGGAGACAGACACAGATTTTTAAAGGTACTTATGTGGTGCTGTGCTCAGGATTAGAAAGCCTAAGTGATTTATGAGCCTAACTTTCATTTTCCTCTAAAGCCCATTGACTGTCAAAGAGATTTTGGCTCCGAAATGCTAAATTTCTTTTGAAAATGAGATTGAGACTCCTAAATTAGTTAAGTGTTGCAATGCTGAGCAGAGAAACGCTGGAGTACCTTTAAAAATCTGGGCCATAGTGTATTAGCCAAAGAAATTACAATTTAAAGACAGACAAAAGGCAGGAGAAAGGAAATGTTATTATGCCCATTTTACAGACTGGGAACAGAGGCACAGAGCAGTTTAAGTGACTTTGGTCCAAGTCACACAGAAAGCCTATGGCAGAGGTGGGAATTAAACCCAGGAGTCCTGAGTGTTACGCCAGGGCCTTAATCACAAGACCATCCTTCCTCTAAAAAGTACTTTTGATTTTTAAAGTTCTCTCCCAAAGGTCTTGTAAAAAATTGAAAAAAAAATTGTGAAAAAATGTGTCATATTTTAAAAAAAATATTGCAATTTGTTTTTTGAAAAATTTAGAATCTCCCCCTCCTCCTCCTTTCTCCCCCCTCCTTTTTTTGTGTGCCAAGGAGCGTGAAAGGAAAAGCGAAACTGCCACTCTGATCCATATTATTTTTCATAGAGTTTAAGGCCAGACGGGATCATTTAATCATTTAGTCTCATCTCCTGTACACAGGGCCATTCAATTTCACCCAGATACCCCTATACTAACACAAAAGATTTCCATTAGACTAAAACATTTCACTCCTTGGGAGCCTGTGTGTGCCAGAGAGAGTAAACAGGAGAGATGAATGACCGAGGTCCCTGCAACTTCTCCCATTTTTGAAAACGTATGGAGTTTAATTTGTCCTTTTGCCCCTCTGTCTGCAACTTGTCCAGTGTTGAGGAAGTGTTGAAAAGTGGCAAAAGGAAATTGAAAAGAAAAACAAAGTGAGAAAACCCCCAAGCCCTGGTTCATTCTATTGTTTTCGGCAGCAGAAAGGAATAAAGGAGGAGAGAGATGGGGATAAAAAACAAACTCTGACCTTTTGAAATGTCCAGTTTTGACAAAACACTGGAAAATAAAAAATAACCCCACCCCAAACAACACAGCTGTTCTGGTAAGTTTTCTTTATGAAAAAACAACAATTTTTCATTAAAAAGTTTCTGAATCAAAAATTCTGACCAGTTCTAGTCCGAGGAGACATACAGGGCTGAGATTTTCAAAGGAGCCAAAGAGAAATTCAATAGGAGATAGGTGCCTGACTCCCTTGGGCTGTGATTCTCACAGATGTCTAAGTGGGGCGCTACCATGGAACCCAGTGGCTAGGGGACTCTGGGTGTTTCCACCAGAAAGGACTGCGGGGAACAATCGAAAAGCTATTTGTTAGCCTTCCGATCGATTTGATAACAGGAAAAGGCAGGGGAGCTGTAGATTGCTCCTTGCCACCTTCTATTTCTGCGTTAAGAATAAATATCAATGCTTCCGACAGAATAAATAACCAGGCTACAGTACCTGACACTTTAGCAAGGGGTGGATCCCTGGCAGTGCCAACCGGTCTTCCGCTTGGTCGTATATCAGCTGAAAAGAATGGGCAAAACCGCAGCAAATTAATATTACAGGACGCTGAAGTATGGTTTAATCCCTTCCCTTGTGGCAACGCATGATGGATGCGTGGGAGTCGCTTCACACTCGTTTCCTAGCGCTCAGATATTTGTGACAGCTCAGAAAGGAGCAGCAAGAGGAGATAAACATTGAGCTAACCTTTCTCATGCCCACAGTGTGCGTGCTCACCCCCAGTAACTGGCACCCCAAACGGCCCCTCCAAACAGCCCCTTGGCAGCTGGAATAGCCCTGGGATCTGGAATTCCCCTCCTATCCATCTGCCTCTCAGTGAGGAGTCGGTTTCTGTTGGGACTTTAACTAGGGCTCTTCAGAGCCAAATGCCACTGCAGGTAAAACAGAGAATCTCCTTCAGCTGCTAGCCCTGGTGTCTATGCGCCTGAGTCACCTGGCACTGAAGCCGATGACAGTGTTTTCCTTGACATCACAAGTTGGATCAGGCTTTATACGTTTATGTAAGACCTGCAGTCACAAAACAAGAAGACCATTGCCAGCTTCTCTCAGATGTATCCGGAGACAGCAAATTCCCCTTGGATCACAACTCCTCATCGTTGTAGCGATGGGATGGGCTTCAAGACACAACCCAAGCCAATCGGTCCCTTCTCTCCCTGCGGGCTCAGGGCTCTTACCAAGGCAAATGGGCGGTTTCCCTGTCCAGCTGCCATCCGCTTTGCAGGTTCTGTGTTCGGATCCTCCCGTGAGATAGTACCCACTCTGGCAGGAGTAGATCAAGGTGTAGCCCAAGGAGGGCAAATCTAGGGCACCTACATTAGCATGGGATGGGGTCTCTGGCTGTTTGCAGTGATGAGCTGGAAAAACAGAAAGGGCGGAGATGAGAAGACCTGCCAGTGGGAGCTTTGCCATTGACTTCAGTGCAGTCAGGATTTAACCCAAGGGAGTTTTGTCCTGCTTAAAACTCTCTGAAGCCCTTCCGTGAAGATGTCAAGGTTGGGCATTTCACAGATACAGTGAATTCAACAGGCCAAAGACGCAGAGCACCATTTTCAGCAGGTCCCCTGCATCAGAGCCTGTGCGCTCCCAAACGCTTCTGCAAACGGTATCAGTGAACAGCAGGATTCCTCTGGGAATGCTCAGAAGTGCACATCTATGGGCAGAAAAAGCCACACTGCCGGGTTTCAAGTTCACTCTCTGATCCTACCTGATCAGTTTATGAGTCAACCAATGAGCTTCCCAGTTAACGGCACCTCCAATTCCAGCAAGGATTTGAGAGCTGAGCCCTGTTCATCCCACACTTCTTACGTCCCCCTCAGTGACAAAGATCCCCAAATCGGAACGGTGCTGAAGAGACCCTTGCCGATGCACGAGGCAGAATAGAATTCAGCTCATTCTCCCACCGCTTTGCAAGACCTTGCACCTTGAAGTCAGCAGGCACACGAGCGAATACGTGGGGCAAGAAGGGGCCGTTTTTACACAGTCCCCTATCGGAACCTAACTATGCTTGAAAAAAAGCCAAGAAAGAAAATAATCTAATCTCCCCCATGCCTCCTCTGGCCGTAGATCCAGCATCGTGTCATCATGTTAACATGCAGATAGAAAATGGCCTGAAGGCAAATCCTGCTTTAATCTTGAGCTACTTTTGCAGAAGAACATCGAACCCTGCTAAGGCTGTGATTGTATCAGTGGTTCTACACGGTGGCTGAGTGATGGATTCTCTCCTTATTTTGCCTCTGTTCCAAGGATCCCTATTGACTGGCCTTCTAACTAAGAATTTCTACCTACCTGTCGGCAGAATCACAGGGTCAAATCTTCAGAGGTGCTGAATACCTGTGTTCCCACAGTTACTCAGAATCTTTCAGGGTTTGGCCCTTAGATATGAGAAATCTATGACATCTGTGTGCGTGTGTGTGTGTGTGAGATTTACTGCTCTATGCAGTCCTGTTGTTAATCATACCACCAGCTTCCTTGGAAGTGGGGGGGTGTTACTAAACACACCTAATAATCTCATTGGTAGGAAGCTTTCCCCAAACCTCCCTCTGATTCTCCCTTTCTGTGGATCTCAAAGCACTTTATAAACATGAATGAAGCCTCAACAGCCCTTGTGTGGTGACTATTATTGTTGTTATATTCTATATTTTACAGATGGGGAAACAAAGACAGAGAAATGACTAGCCCGAAGTCACACATGCCCTGTGCAAATCAGTAGATGATAATTCAGCTGTCAGTAAATTAGAGTAACTGCACCTAATTCTACTCCTGTAGATTGCACTGACAGATGAAGCTTCGAGAAGAACTGCTAGATGGCAACTCAGTATTTCTCCCTGTTATAAGCAAGCAACAGAAACAGTTTTGCTTCAACTTCTTTCTCCTCCGATTCTCCATGTTAGGAATTGTAACGTCAGGTTGGCACACCTTGCTCTAACGACAATAAACATCTGAAATAACCGGCTGAAGAAGGCCAAGAACACAGTCAAGAGAATTCTAGGAGCAAGAGAGTGGGAGAACAAGACCTTGGGATTAAAGGGAACTGGGCTATGAATGACCTTTTCCTGTTTCTTAAAGGGCCCAATCCAGCACCTGTTGGGAATTTTTCCATGGACGTCCATGGCAGCGGGATCAGCTCAAAGCAATTTATGGCTTTGAGTAAGTCCCCTGGTCTGAAATTACATTCAGTGTGAGGCCAGGTGTTTGAAGGTGTTCACACACCACGGTAAGGAAAATAGCGTAATGATCTGAGTAGAACAGAATGGCACAAAATCCCAATCTACATTTGGTAGGAGATGCCCCATCCCCACCCGCAGCTCAAAGGAGGAGGAATAAGGTTCTCCATACCACAAATTGCCAATCCCTACCCCGCCGAAGGACCTGCTTTCACGTGACCCTGATTGCTTCCCTTTGCAGTTAAGGGCCCATGCTTACAGTGGGGCATCTCAACATCTTCAGAGCTCAGAGAAAGAGACATCTGCATTAAAGTCACATGTCCCCAACCATATGGCAATGCCCACCAGCACCACACGAAGCGTGTGTCTTCACGGCAAGTAAAAGCTGGGTTTTAAACCTGCGTGAGCTAACTCGGGTTAAAACAGCAGTGAAGACTCGGCAACTTGGCTTTTGACTGGGGTTAGCAACTTGAGTTCAACTCCAGACTCCCCAGTAGGCTTGAACTGAAGCTGCTAACCTGAATTCAGAGATGAGCTGCTGGGACTTCAGTGCCGTTTTAACCTGAGTTAAGAACACACCTTTTTTTTTTTTTGCAGTCAAGACATCCCCCTCAGCAGGTTTAGTTCCTGCAGCTTGTGTAGCTTTTCAGTTGACATTGGGCCAATACAGAGTTATTAATTAAATGTATGTAGTACCTGCACTTACAGAATTACATTAACTGGATAAAATCATGGTAATAAGTCACCCCAGAAGGGGAAGGGAGAAGAATTCTAATATTTCTGATGAGGCGCTAGATGCCATGATACCAAATTAGAGCTCAATACATTGAATTAAATTCCGCCCTGTATAAGGAGAACTGAATGAGATAACTACAATTTATTCAAGATCTACAGAAACATCATCCCACTGAAGCGGTCTTCTGGCTGAAGAGTATTACTTGGTCCCTCCAGCCTGAAAACTGGCTGTTCTCATCTGCTGTATCCATGACACCAGAGAAGTGGTCTGCGGTTTTGCAACAGAGAGTCAGAACATATGATATTTCAATGGCCTCTGCCCTCTAACACGGAATGGCCGAAGTTTCGCTGTGTAAAGCACATGGCCAAAGGAGTTTGTTGCATAGACAAAGCTTCCCTGCGACACTTACGAACACAATCGGGCTGTACTCCGCTCCATGTCAGGTTGGGGAGGCACGTTCTAGTGGTCGAGCCTTGGAGCAGGTATCCTTTCTGACACCTGAAGAACATGATGCTTCCCACCTATCGCAACAAAAGATAAAGAGCCGGATTGTCCAGTGTAACCAACCAGTTGACACACACTGTGTTCTACGCCAATCCCAGAGTGTTCAGAGCTCTTGGAAAAAACCTCTGCATGAAGTGGGCACAGTGCTGCTTCATTCATAGAGGCGAGTGTGGCTTTATTGTCATACAATTCCCCTCAAATTAGCAGCAGCACAAGTGATTTAACTGATCGACATTTTTCAAAATGTTGATTACAATATTCATCAAAATTGTGTCCATAAAAAAATCCAGGAATAAAATTTCATTAAAATGTTTAGTCAACGTTTCACCTACTCTGGTGTTATTTATTGTAGTAGCAGTTAGAGGCCCGGGTCAAGAGGAGGGCCCCATTATGCTAGGTGAAGTGCAAACGCACAAGAAGATACATGGTCCTTGCCTTAAGGAACAATGTTTATTTTCCTTATGATAAATGTTTAAAGGGACATTCAAAATAAATAATGATAAGAGGAAACATCCCTTACTTACATTATCGATGCCACCTTGGCTTATGGACACTGAAAAGGATTTTAAAAATTTAATTTACTTTGCCTCAGTATTATTTATTTTTCACACTTTGTTCTACTGGGACAGCAGAGCCAGACTAGTCAGTTTCAGGTCCTGTTTTCATAGGCTGCTAGCATGATGCTATTTCTTTTGGGTTTCCATCATTGCAAGCAAATGTTTCCTTTTAAAAATAGAATAGATTAAAAATAAAAAAAAATTCTATATAATTCTATATAAACTCTGCTCTTTTTTAGTTTGGGTTTTGCTGTTGGTGGGTTTTTGTTGTTGAAACATTTTGATCATTAAAGAAACTCCCACAACTAACAAACTATCAGAAACATTATTTCAGATTTTTCCATGGAAGTTCAAGATACATAGTGGGGTGTAATTCTAGCCCCCCCTTAAATCAAATGGGCATTTTGCTAGGACTTCCCCCATGATCACAGGGATTAGGAGGAAATGACTGATTGAGGTCTACACACCTTTCTGAATCCAATTATCACCACTTCCTGGCATTTGCATGGGTGGGTGCTTACCAATCTTTTTTGCAGGCTAAACATTCAAAACCAGCTGGAAATTTGGTACATTTGATCATCTTATCCACCTTTCACAAGGGCAGAAGTAACATAAGATTTTCCCCTGCACTTTCTCCCACCTCCTCATCAGCCAATCAACAAACATTCTGATTTTGTGATGTTTCACCATGTGCAGGCTCTCGTGGGTTTCTGCCTGGCGGATGATGACTGGCTCTCCTTAACACAGCCCAAGAGCGCAGTCTCATCCGCAGCATGGATACCAGCGCGGCTCAGATCTCTTGCCAACCCCACTTACCAAAACAAACAAAAAAATCACACTTGCGGCGTCTCCGTATTAATGAGGACCTAGAATTAACACACTAAACCCCTGGATCAAGGTAACAAATTAGCACCTTTACTAAAAAAATCCACTTTCGGAGGATAAACCCTCCTCATGCCCCACCCTAGCATCTAAGGTGTCTTGTGTAAGACACAGGATGGGAATGCGCAGGTGGAACATGGAGGGGATCTCTCCATGACATTACATTGATTTCTTCCCCCATCAAGCCTGAGATTAGGAAAGCCACTTAAATGATTTGGATTTAAAAGTAATGGAAACGGGGCATGCAATGCTAATACTAATTCCACTAATAATAAATCTTAGTTAGCAACGTAATTAACAGCATATATCTAATACTTAAATACACTGCAGGGTCGCTGTGGAATCACTGCACACTCTGGCAAGAGCCCATATGCACGAAGTCTAATTGAGGTCCCAGGGACTTCTCGAGCAAGTCAGTGCGAACCAACAACAGTACAGGTTGCACAGTCTACGCAACTTGCGCTTGTGTAATGGATTAAGAGACATGGGGATAAAATGGTAATTACATTACCTGATAACCTTGGGAATTGTTCTGCATTCCAAAGAGAGGCACACCAGGGTCAGCACATGTAGTGAGAGTTGGATCTTAAATAGAAAAAAAACGAACAAGCCATATTAAAAGTACTCAGACACTGCGGGTGTTAGTGAAATCCATTTCAGAGCTATGCATCCTCCCTGCTCGCTCTACAGCTGTTTCACTTTCCTTTTCACGTGGGACTTATGTATTTTGCAACAGAACTAATACGGACCATTAGAGAGAATTAAACAGCTACTTCTGTCTCTTAGCCTGGGGTGGGTCCAACACAGGGTAACAGGGAAGCATTGCATCCCTCAGGGGAAAATAAACAAGACAAAAATCCACCAGCGGTGTATAGTTCCCTCCCTTTTACAGTTCTACACACCATTCGCAGCAGTTAATTTAATACATGATTAGACCTGGGATCCATGCAAGAGCAGGTACTGTGGCATCCCAGGCTGGCCTGGGCGCATTCCAATAGCACGCACCAAAGCTGCAGCAGGAGTTCCTAATTCAACTGGCCGTAGTTGAGGAAAGTGCAAGAGGGGTTGGAAAAAAAATTAGTAACTTAAAACAGGAACCTTTTTTTTTGGTAAAAAACCTCTTCCAAAAAATCCCATTTTTCAACCACCTCTAGAGAGTGTCTTTAAGCCCACGGGTAAGCAGGACCCAACCCACAACCTTAATTTAGAGACACGGACAGTTTCCCCCAGCTGCACCTGGCACCAAAAGAATGTCTAACAGACTGCTCCGTTATCACTGTCTGGGTGGGAGATACAAGCATTTGTAAAGGCACATTGGTAATGTCTCCCCCATCTGGGCATTTCAGGTATTACAAAACCCTTTCCCTGGCCGTTCGGACGATGCCGAGATGTTGTCACTTTGCGCACTGACGTGCAGCCTCTTGGTTTATTGGTCATTTTCTCTCTATCAACAGGGTTGTTTAATCTCATTTTCTAATGCTCCAGGCAGGGTTTACACAGGGAATAATAAAGTGGTTTAATTCCAAGTTCCATGCACACCCCTGGAATAGCTGGATTCTGCTACAATAATCTGCAGTGAAACAGGTCCTGGTCTTGACATGTAGGCCCCATCTGTGCTATAGTTATTATGGTATTGGGTCACCTATATGCAATGCAGTTGTGTTCTGACGTGACCTTTTGGTTTTGGCCTATGAGAGGCACTAGCTCCCTTTATATCTTCTCTGCCTCTCTGCGGTCGACAAGCAATGTTATGAAAGTTGTTCAGTGTGGTTTTCCATCAGGATTCTGCTCGGCTGCCTCTGTCACCAAACACTCATCTCATAACCCTGCTATTTCATGGTGATTGATGGTGACTGGAGATGTTAATGCATCTCAGATATATAATCTCTCTTTATGCCTAGTTTGGTCTCAATCCATCAGAAGATGGATACATGCAAGTCAGAAATACCTGCCATTGTCATTACAGCATATATCACTTTCTTCTTCCAGTGCGTAGACAAGAGCTGTGAATCAGTTGAATGAAAGCAGAAATGTATCAAGTTTGTCCTCGAGTTCCAAACTGATCAAAGAAGCTGTAATCCCTGCCTGATAGGTAGCAGCAGCAAGATTGACTGGGAGACGAAAAATCAAACCAACCCCAAACCAACCAAACACACAAGCAAAGATACTGAGGATGGACAGTCCCCTGCTGGATCCATTGGGGAACCAGCACTGGCTGACAAAGTGCCAGTTCCTTGCAAACTCTGTGAGCTTTTGTGAACCTATGACAGGCCAGAGTGAAGCTGAAAAGCCCCCTCTCCTGCCGTGGGATGAGAATGGGCGAAACGTTTGGAACAGGAGGAGCAGCGCTGAATAAGACTCTGCCCAGCAATGGGCTGAGAACAGCTGATATGGATGGATCAGTAGGTGACCTGGGTGTAAAATCAGCTGTGGGCAATGTACCTGGGCATTGCATTCAGGCCTTGAGTCGGGCTCAGCAGGAATAGGCAGTGCACAGATGCACAGAAGTTTAAACACTAGCCAGAGCCGTGTGCACTGCGCAGAGGTAAGTCACAAGCTCCCTGGGTGCTGGGTCCCTCGCGTGCAAGAGCGCAGGATAAAAACAGGGGTTGTGATTGCGACATTAGCAATGCTAGCACTAACGGGGGCTCAGACCACTTGGCGAGGTCCTGGTATAAATGCACAGAACAGGCAGATGTCAGCAGACAATGGGAGTGCATGCAGACTCTCCACAACGCCGGATCGGGCTCTCCTGTGGCCAGGATCCTGTTCCTCACCCCTGATTATACTGAGCTGCTAGGTGAAGCACTCTGCACCACACTGAGCAGGATCAAACCTTCTCTGGTAACTCTCTCCCTAAGCTAAAGAGAGACTCAAATGAATCGGATGTATCCAGACACAGGAAACACACAGTGCGAAAAGCCCTCACAATCAAACACACAGCAGGAGCAGAGATCACTCCCTCTCCTCCTGGCGGCTAAGGGGAAAAGGGCACACCAATGCTATAACTAACAGGCCCGTTGTTTTATTCCTTATGACCTGACTAATCAGCCTCTCCATCCAGCATCCTTACGTGCTTCCCTGAGCTCTCCGCAGGTCCTTGGGAACCGCACTGAGTCAGTAAACAAGGGATACAAAGTGCAGCCGGTCTGGGGCTGCAACTCACAAGCTAATTCATTTCACTTATTCAGCTCTGCTGAGCTTTTGTCATTTATCACCGGTGCGGTTTCCATGGCATCTGATGGAGGCCCCCCAGATAAATCAGAGTGTCTAAACTCACTAACTAACTAACTAAAATGAAGTTCCATCCCACAGATGAGGTGGAGGCTGACGGATCACGCCAGGTGAGGTGTATTAAATCCGGGTTTCCGGGCTGTATTTTGGGGACCCGAGAGCCCGGCCATCTAACGAACCTCGAGATCGGATGGGATCTGAATAAATAATACTTTTTTATCGTCTGCCTGGACTGGAAATAGACATGCTGGATCAAGATTTTCACCGGCAGACAAGTTTTTTCCCTTCCTGTGATTTGTACGAGGGAGACAAATTTGAAGGAGGAAACTAAATTTCGTTGGCAATATAAACGACTGTGTTATTGCGTCCTTTAATGCTACACTCTTCCAGAGGTGTGGGTGCCACAGCCTGAGCGTATATTACAGGGCCCTGAATAAGGACTCGTGGAGAAGTGATGAAACATTGAAGGCGAACCTAGCTGTGGTAGTTAAATGCCAAGATGCTCCGGTGACCGGGGCTACATGCCTAGCTAATGGTACATGTATACTTGGCTAACTTGCTAGATTAAAGATCATGAATGGTAGAATGAAATCTGATTAGTCCTTCCTCATCACACCATCCCACATATGAGAACAAGGATGCGACTGATGGCAGGTAAATTTAGAACAATGCAGCTTCTTTGCTCCTGGTGCCCAGATAATAAGGTGATGGTGGCATTAGAAATGGATAGTTAGATGGACAAGTTAGAGGGATAGACGGCATGTCGTCAGCCCATGGAATTCATTGCCACAGAGGCCTGAGTCAACTACTGAAGCTAGAAAGAGATGAGAATGATCTGACTACTAATGATTATGTACTGCCCTGAGCTTTCGTGGGGCCTTGGAAACCACTGGGAAGTGACAGACAAGAGATTTGTTAGGGATATGGGGATTTGTATCCAAGTCAGCAGCTCAACTCCACAGCTACGCACAGTAACTCGCATGGTTCTGTATTCTATGGACAGCACCTGTACCTTTCCAGAGGTCTCCTGTTCTGCTGGGAGCAGCTGCCATTTTGGGTCCCATTCAAATGCAGCATGTTACAGAGGACACACACGCTGCACTTTACTTTGTTCCATCAGGAGCTCCTGTGACAATCTGGCCCTGGTTGTGGATGCGGAGAACTTCTGGAAACGTGGCCCCGGGTCCCATCAGCAAAAATCTCCCACAGGTTCCAGGGACTGGGACTTTGCCATGAAATATGGATCGCCGGTGGGGATGGCCAATAGGCAGAGCCAGCATCTGGGGCTGGGAAGCTTGCAAGTGAGGTGAGCCCACACCCAGATCTGTTCTGAGATTTAATGGGGAGGAGGACCTGACAAGTTAGCAGAAGGAAGGTGAATTTGCTATGTGCTGGTCTTCTCTGCAGAAGAAGATCTTCCTCCAGCTCTAACCACAGGGGACAGGGCCGAGTAAGCAGGTGAAAGGGGTAGGAGAAATTGGGGACGAGAGACTGAGTAGATTGACGGGGGAAGGGACAAGTGAAGCTTTGGAATGTTCCCTTACCTATACAGCTGGGCTGGGTTCCACTCCACGTCCCATCAGACTGACAGAACCGCCGAGCTGAGCCCACCAGCACCAGTGGGGACAGGCAGGAGAATGAAACAGATGAGCGGTAAGTGAATCCTCTGTCTTCTCTCCTGCCTTGAGCTGGTGTCCCGGGGTCACCACAGAACACAGCTAGAAAAGCCAAAGGGTAGTCAGAGGATGGCGACGAATCTCAATAAGGGCAAATAGTGTTAATGGGTTAAAGACAATTCTATTAATGGCCAAAACCTCCCAACCCCGGCTTTCAAGCGCTGCGATGGCTCAGGAAATTACTAGTGGCAGAAGGTACGCTGGCTGCTTTCTGCTCACTTCTGTCTTTTTGTCAATTACTGTTTAATTAACTTTCACTTTCCAACATCTCCCGGCAGGGAGGAGGAACAGACGGTTTGGATCCTTTTTTTTATTGGTCTTTTTTCTGCACAATGGTGTGCTTAACTTTGACTGTATCTTTAATTGCACAAGGTCAAATTGCCACGCGGCGCCGTGTCAGACGTAAAGCCCGTTAATTATATAATAGCCGGGGAAAGGTGTAAGGAATGCGGTTGGGTCTTTGTGCTGTTTAAGATGAAAATGGCTATTGTGCAGCTGCCAAATACTCAAAGCTAAACTCCGGCTTTATCATTCTGAGCTGTTTCACTAATCTGTATTGTATCACGCACGCAGGTTTCCATCCAGCCACAGGGCCCTGCCTTTGCTCCACGTTCCAAGGCTTGCTGGAACGCTACGGGGCTCTTTTCATGTAAGGCCTTCGCAAGCCGCAGGGGCCAGAATTTCAGAAGAGCTCAGCTCCAACGGAGGCACTTAAATCGGGGCCAGACTTTCAGAAGTGCACAGCGCGTCGGGTGCCTGGCGGGTATTAGGGGTCTTTTGAAAATCTGGCCCCCATTTTGCATGCTAAGCGCTTGGAAAGCTGGGTCCTGATCGATTATCTTCACACCACTCCTCTAAGGTGGCGATGAGTGTCTCCATGTTACAGAAGGGGAAACTGAGGCACACAGCAGTTGGGTAACTTGCAGAGCAAGCGGGTGGCAGGGATGGGGAGAGCACCCAAAACTCCTGGCCCTATCATTCAGCGCACCACACTTCTTCCTTTTCACCAGCATGCTGCCATCCACCTCTGTCCCGATGGGGTGATGCCCTTGCCTCACTGAAGTCAGTGGTAAAATTCCCATTGATCTCAGTGGGGTTAGGATTTTGCCTGGGGTCAAGAATCACTGGAGTTAGGTCTCCAAACCCATATGAATGTTTAATGCCCCAAGGGGGAAGTCCTTGTCTTGTAAGGATGGGACAAGGATTCCCCCCTGAGGCACAGACATAGCTGTGAGATATTGTGGGGGGTCTCAAGCCTGGGTCCCCAAACAGTCCTCAGACCACAGCCACCACCCAGCAGCTCATAGGTACTAACAGGGAGTGTGGGCTGGTGGACCCTACCTAGGTCACCTTAGGCACTGCCCACAAAGCTCCCAATTGGAGAACACATCTGGCCTCTTTGATCGGCTCAGACTCACTATTTAAGTCAGAAGGAGGCACAGCAAGTTGTCTGAGTAACTATTTGAATCCCTGGCTGGTTGCAACATTGAACCCCTGCCTTCTTGTCAGACTCCTGAGACCTGCCTTGTTCCTGATTCCTGACTTCCTGTCATGTTCCTGCCCTACTTCCTTGTTCCAAATCCCTGCCTTCTACAGCACATCCCCGGCTACTGATTCCAGCTCCAATCCTTGGCTTGGTTCTTGACTCTGCCTCTGACCTCCTGTTCCTGGTGTCAGGCTCCTGCTCTCACCACTAAGTCTGTCCACCCATGTCCTGATCTATGGCCTTAGCTAATTCCCATTATTTGAGAAACAATGTATAAAATCCCACCATGAGTTTCATCTCCCATCAGGCACACCTTTAATGGACGGTATTAACAACTGGGTCACTATCCCTGATATCTCCTTCCTTCACCCTTATGCACCAGGCAATTTTCAGACCAGCAGCCAAGGTTATGCTTTACCGAAAAGTGTTTTGCCTTTAATTTAAAATATTTCCTGCTACTGTGGGTGCATGCATGAGCCATGATGCTATCTGAAGGTTGGGGGAATAAGTCAATCACTAATTGTGTATGGGTGGGAAGAAACTTCTCCCATGGGCAGGTTATGCCATAATTGTCCATTATGGAGATTTCATACCTTGCTCTCAAACGTCTGGTACTAGCCAATGCTCGAGAGAAGATACTAGTTTGGACAGACCATTAACTGGATCAAGAAAGACTTATCCTTTGGAGGTGGTGGGACACAGGGGGTTTGGAGTTTAAGGCTAGTGCTCCATCCCCTTTGCACGTGAATACACATGGATGTCTGCTTACGAAAACACTGTGGCAGTTCTCCGGTCCATGTCCCATTCCCTTCACAAGTCAGGACGGCAGGTAGCGAGAGCTGGTATCCTTCCAGGCAGCCATAGCTCACGCTTGAGCCCCAGCTGAAATCTGAGCCCATGACTTTCCCGTTGGGGATGACTTGTGGGGATTTACAGGTGATAGCTGAGCAGCAAACAAAAAGCATATTCAGGTCTAATGACTTCTCAGCGTAGTTATTTCCATTAACAAACAAATCCACATAGGATCAAAGTTACTTTCTGTGAACTGAATGCATCACAGGGAATTTAGCTAGAGGGGGTCTGTGCACACTTTCTGTTATATGCATGTGTGTTTGTGTATCCTGGGATTTTTTTCTTTGAGTTTTAGGGTCAACCAAATCCCAAACCTCACAGTCAGATCAGCAGGCTTTTGCTAGCTTCCACCGAAGATTATGAATCTGATCCCAGCTTAGTGGGAACATCCCCTCAGGTACTCCAGAAGTTTCACAGATTTTGGAAAACCTAGACAAGTTTCGAGTTAGCGATTAACTCAACAACGAGATTGAATTTTGTCTGGTTGGAAAGTTTTATAGTACTCTGCTTTCAAGCGCATATGAGCACGGGGCCAGATTCTCAGCTGGTGGTGTAAATCAACATAGCTCCCAAGTGAGAATCTAGCCACATTGTGTCTTGCTCTTGCTACATTAGCTCAAAGTGGCAAGAAGAAAAAAGAAGGAAGTGTTGATCTTCACAGCCTTGCAGGGGAGTGAAGTATTTAGGGAAGATCCCAAGTGACCTGCATTTCTGACAGGTGGACCTTAAGAACTTTGCAGACTGAGATCAGACAAGCATCCAGATGCTGCTTCACATTTTGTCAGTACCCCTGGGGCAGCAAAACACTGACAAAGAAATCAGCCTCTCTTGCAAGATGCCCAGTGCTTCCGCATTCTGATCAGAGAAGCAGAGGCAACCACAGCTCTGAAAAATAATACAAGCAGGGGGTAGAAAAGCTTTCCAGACCTTTTGGGAGGCCGAAGAAAATGCTTCATTCAGGTTTGATTTGAGTTTGGGGTGAAGACTTGCATATTTATGCAAAGTGCTTCATCCATTCATAATGAGGGAGATTGAAATCTCTTTTACAATGGTGTAAATCCCCAATAATGCCACTGAAGTCAATGGACGTACTCCAGAGTTACACTGGTGCACATGGGATCAGAATCTGACCCTTAGAGGCTACCCCAGTTTGGAGAAAGCTCTGCTTTAGAGGGCGCTTGTTGTCCGTGTTTGATTTCAAATAAAATGTGGCTTTCGTATATACATACTTTTTATTTTTAAATGGACACATTTGATCTTTAAGAGGGGCCACCGGTTCTCCAACTCTCCCTTTTGAACCATGACATGTCCAAAAGGAAGCCAGGCTGGTTCTGAGGCTACTGTAGGATGGACAGATTACCCCAGTGTGAAAGTGCCTCTGCAGACTAGCGTATATACACAGCTTAACAGCACTTTAGCGTGGCAGAGCTATAATACCGTCAATCATTTCTACAAGAAGTACTTACGAGCGTAATGCAACAGTTATTGGAACCTGAGATATTCATGCAACTGGATTAGTAAGTCATAAGCCATACTTAAGAAACCATAAACTGCACAGGTTAAGCATTTTGCAGCGGCTGGGTAATTTCGAAGTATGTCACTGCAAGGTACAGGCCTGGATTATTTATGTCTTCTAAACCACAGTGCAAGTTCCACACTGGGGTGGATACTTTTGGATTCTCTTGTGCACTGGGATGCTTACGATAGATTCTGCAGCCCACTTTGAACCAGGCTGGGGCCGATCTTCCTTCCTACTGCACGTCATGCATACAATTGGGCTGCCCAGAGGAGCCGGAGTGGGTGCTACCTTTAAAAATCATTTATTGGGCGCGCTCCTGCAAGCCTTCCGTGCTCTGTGCCTCTTGACCTCCTGCTGTCTGTCAGGGGACACTAACGGGGCAAACGTGACAAGATGCCAAGTTTCCCTCCACTAAGGAGAGTGAGCGGCATGCAGTAACCATGTCCAGTTATTTACACTAGGGCAAAGGATGTGTGTGAGGGCCGGGGGAAAGCCACATGCTTCTACCTCAGAATGGAAACACTTTGCCCTGGTGCAGGGCAATGGAGAATCAGATCCAGGTTCTCCTAGAAGGCAGCAGATTTACCTTCACTGGCCATGCTGAACTACAGTCCAGTGAATGTCCTATTTGTGACTGTTTGGTTGCACGTGATGTATCATACAGTGCCTGGCAATCTGAGTAAACGGTATCCCTGCAGGGTAAATATAGGAGTATTTCTTTCTTTTAAACCACAGTACAGGTTAGATGGTCATTATTTTTGGACCTACTCAGCATAATTCGCTTGAATGAGTGAGGAATTGCTATGGTTCAGAGCCCTTTAACTCCCACTGATGACCAGTTACTCTCCAGTAGTTCCAATGACTCCTCACATAATTGCTTCATCAATAAGAGCAAAGAGTTCAGAGTCTGGCCCCATGTAGTTATGTGGCACTTTCGCAGTAAAGCTTACTAAGATATCTTTAGTTACAGGAGCCTTGAGGCTTGTAACCTAATATCCTCAGACATTTATAGTAAATAGGGTCTCACCCTTGCAGACAGGTTTGGTGCCATTCCAGGTTCGGTCTTTTGTGCAAATCAAAGAGGATGCCCTGTCCGACTCCATCATGTAGCCAGGAATGCACTGAAACACTACCGTTTTATTGTAGTTAAAGTCATTTCCCAGCCTAAAGCCATTGGCTGGTACACCAGGATCCCCACAGTTTATCACTGGGAAAGGAGAAGACACAATGGTTAAATTTTCTGGTGCACATAACATGGCTCAAGCATATGGATATGCAATGGCTAGAAACCTCACAGTCCCCACTATCTTTCAACGGATGATGGTGATCTATCAGCCCCTGAGATGTATGGGCTACAGGGTAAACCTGGGAGCTGGCTCAACCAGAGCAAAGTTTGGAAATGTGTGCGCAAAAAACTTTGCCCATGCTCAGTGGCATGGACAATAGTCATAACAAATGGCTCTAAGGCCTAGCATTATGCAAAATGATGTGTTAATTAGCACATTACGGGGGCCCTGAGGTTTAATCATAATCAGTTAACATGCCTTTAAACATGATTTGTCCCTGTTTGTCCTAGATGCTGTATGTTGTTTGCAGACAGAATACATTTTCCTAACACAGGCCTGGCCTCATCCACACCTTTCATCTGTCATTCTAAGGACCTAAGTGAACACAGTATATGTTCAACAAAAGCTTCCAAGCTATGGCCCAATCAGGGCACGTACTGGGAGCTGACACACCATAGGGCAGGACTCTGTAGTAGAGCTTACGTCTAGTCATGAGATTTATGACTGCAGAGCACGTAGCTTAGCTGAAAAGACCATCCGAAGCGGGAGTATTCCATGAGGCACTCGGGGCCTCAAAGAGTTTGCATGAAGAATTATCTCCACTGGCAGTAGATAGTTTTATTACACTTCTGAACACATTGGGTTTACATGTGCCTGTAAGTCTTAAGCTGGAGTCCCATGCACTCTTTGAAAACCTAGCCCTAGTGCCTTATGTTTGTTATTTACCTTGTCTCCCAGGAATCCACTCGGCTGCTCACCTGTACACTCAGGAGTGCTGCCTGTCCAGGTTCCATTGACAGTACAGTGCCTGCTTAGCACGCCCGTGGAATAATAGCCTTCCCGGCACTGATATATAATGGAGCTGGAGAAAACCAAGCCGTCGTTAAATACAACTCGAGCGTTGCTTGGAGTCCCTGGGTTTCCACAAGATATAACTAAAAAGCCAAAATAGCAGAATTAGAAAAAAATTAAAGATGACCCTGATCTCAACCAAAGCAATTCAGCTGCAAAAATCTCCGGATTAATCAGTGGACCACATGCGGTTTTGGAGTGAAATCAACTGTACCTATCAATTCTGTTAGTCTATAAGCTGCCACAGGACTCTTTGTCGCGTTGTACCTCCCAACGCAAGTAAAGAATCCCAAGAGCAATGGATACAACTTGCCCTGGGAAACCACGAGGAAGCACATCTCAATGCTGTGTGACTTCTGTGGTGAGCGACTGAGAAGTTCTCCTGCACCAGAAGCTAATTTCTCCAGCAGAAGATACTCCAGCACGTACCCCATTGATTTCACACTGGGATTCAAGAACATACCCTGGCTGCAAGCCTCCGGATTACAGGTCTCTACTGAATTGAAAGAGGTGCTGGTTTTATGCCCCTGGATACTGATCACTCTGCAGGATCGAGCCGTTAAATTGGCCGAACCTGACATGCAGCTCAAAGAGACAAAGCTGGGCTCTGGGTGGAATGATGGAGGAGGAGGTGGCACCTAGACAGCTCAGCACTAGCAGGTTATTGGAGTCGCTCATTGCTAATCTGAATTCAAACCCAGATTGGTAGTGACCAAAACAGATACCATTGAATGTTGGCTCGGTGAGCTGTGTGAATCAAGGTGGGTTCAGCCCAGTTTCTAGAAATGTCTGCACAAACGGAGAAACTGGCGATGACTGTCACATTAGTGTCAATAGAGGAGCCGATATGGGCCATGAGACACCTTGTTTTCCCTTCAGGCGCTTCTTGCAGCTCAAGATTATGACACATCTGGGCATGGGAATCGGCACCCTGATCTGGCTCTGAATTTCACTGCTGGCTTCAAGTCTCTATCATGGGTTGAACCAAACCCGTAGGTCCCAGCATCTGCAGACAGTTAAAGGGATCTGAGCTTCATAGCTGGGGCTCGTGTCTGCTTTGGAAGCCAATCTTTGCAGACTTCAAGGGAATCGAAGCAGCGGGGGACTCAGCTACCCTTCCATAATGGCAGCCGCTCCTGCTTATTGCCTGCGTATATCCAATTATGCTTTCAGCTGGGGGAGACTATTGCGACGATACAATTATAGGTTTGTCAGCACCCAGGTTTTATGTCTAAACTGCCTCGGTTCCACTGCAATAAAAGGGCATCAGACTGAATGGCAGTACGCACAGTCCTGTCATGGCAAAATAAGTACCTGCAATAATTGCATCCAGCCCTCATTTACTGTGGAATTACAGTACATGAAAGAAAATCACATGAATCAATAAAGGCTTAAACCGTTTGTCTCTGACTATTTGACAAGGAAATTCCCCTGGCAATGCAACACCATCTCGCATGCTGCAAGAGCATCAGTTTGGAAATAACAAGGTGCCCAAGTCTCCAGGCTCTATCGCTAACCCCCAGACCAGACGCCTGTGGGAGTGGAATATTGCCTGCCATTCTGCACAGGTAAATGAATCTCACTTGGGTCACGGACTGAATGTACTGTGCACAGCTGTAAGGAGAGGCCCCCTTCTTCCTTGTTACTTGGTTTGCTGACAGCAGGTTAACATATGAGCTTGTCGGATGTGTATCTGTTTGACAGGGAAAAACTAATAACCATTCCAGCTTGTGTGCGCAGACATTTTGCATGGCACGAAAATCACGTGGGGTGCTCTCTAGTTACAGATTCCTCATGCAGCCAAAGTCTCAATGATACATAGTGTCATTTCCAATAAATGTGGGGATAAAAGTCAGATTCTATCAGCTTAGGAAAAGCATTGGATAAATATTTCACTGTCATGTCTATGCATCATCCTCTCTCTCCTCCCCCCAACCTGCCTTGCGTACGCCCCCGCCAAAATGCACACAGCCGATTCTAAAATAGCCACTGCTACAAAAATTAATCGCGACTTCAGAAAAAGGTGTCAATGGGAAAGGAATGACGACGGTGCAATGTTACGGCACAGTCGAGCACGTGAATATAGAGTAGTAATTCCAATCGGACGTCTGCCGAAAGCCTGCATTGCCCTGGATATAAAAGAGACCTCAAACTTATGGGCAAGTGCTCAGACTTCAAAGTCATATTTAAAATAACTCAGAGCCCAAGCCAGGAAGCCACGATCCATGTAAAGAATTTCCCATGGCATTAATGGGAGCTGGGAGCACCAGCACGATCAGGTGACAGAAGAAAACTGAGCGGCATTGGTGTTTGGAGGAAGCACATATCAAGATCAACCCCACTCCTCACCAAACAAGAAAATAATTCGACAAGCAAAATACATGGGTTGGGACTGTTGGTCTTGTTCCTTCGTTAACTGGAAAATATTTCAAGGGATGAGACCCATATAAAATGATAGATTTTAACAAAAAGTGTCAGATCCTCAGCTGCAACAAAGGAATGCAAAGGTGTAGGGAACCCATGGCCCTGCCCCCTTTCCCTTGGCCACACCCCCACACTGGTGACAGGAAGGGGAGCTGTCGTACCGCCATCTCCCTAAACTGGTGTGAGCCTCCTCTGGCTTGTTACGGTGGCTGGATTGTTGCCAGGAATGTGGTGCAAAGCAGCCACACTCCCGCTCTGAATCTGGGTTTATAAATCTCCACCTGAATTACTAACAGCTTGTCAGACTGTCAAAATGGAGAGGAATTTAACGATCTAATTCACTTTTCACACTTTATGCTGATTATTTTCTTGAACTTCCCCTCAGCCGTGGAAAGTGAAATTAGATTGATCTGTTTAGTCAGTTTCACTTTCGGGGTCTAGCAATAATGATACCATGCTGTTCTGTAGCGCCTTTCCTCTCAGGGTCTCAGTGCGCTTTCAAATGAGTAATGAATGATGCCCCCAAGGGAGGCATTATTATGCTGATTTTAACAGATGGGAAAATCAGTCAGGGAAAGATGAAATGATTTGGCCAAGATCACATAATGATTCTGTGGAATAGCTGGAAACTGAACCCAGAAATGCTGACTCGCCGTTCTCTGCTCTAACCACTAGGCACCTTCTCCTCACAGAGTTGAGAACAGAACCCAGGAGTCCTGACTCCCAATCCCCTGCTCTAACCACTAAGACAGCCTTACTGTATTCCAGAGTTAGCACAACACACTCTGGTTTATGAGCAATGCCGTGGAATGCTTACCACTAAAAATGATGTATATAGACACACACATCTAATTGCAAACATTTCTATTAATAACTAATTGTTGTAAATCTCTTCACCCCATATATTTTTTGTTTCCGTAGCACACCTATATTTTGTGCCTATATTATTCTGATGGAGGCCCTTTGAAACCAACACGATAGACGTGGCTGTTAAAAGTAATCACCATTGCTGCTAAAGATAAGGAGAGAGCCCTGTGCTGGGGGGGAGATCAGGCCGAGAATTACAATGAGGAAGGCGAGCGTTGCTTGGGAAGTAATGGGACTTTATCATTTGTGGTGGTGCATGAGATTCACTAATGGGGAGGCTAATACCATTATGCAGGGAGACAGCAGCTCAGTTGTGAAACTGGCTGTGTGCCTACACAAGACAGTAACAGAGCATAAGCGGCATCCTTATTTCCCTGCATGAGTTACCTGCACTGGCCAGCAAAGTCAGAAAGAAGCCGGGTCAGATTAGAGAATCCAGATCAACACACAGACAAACACCAGACTGTGGTCAGACCCCTGAAACACACCTGTGGACCAGGATTTTGAAAAAAAAAACAAAAAAACAACTCAGCACCAGCTCAGGTTTTCAACAGAGCTCAATGCATTGGGTGCTGAGACTGTTTGAAAATCTGGTTGTAAATGGAGCAATGGGAGCTGGGCACTTGAAAATCTGGCTGTGAGCTCTTCTGAAATTTTTCCCACTGATGTCGTTTGGAAGTTGTAGATCCTTTCAACATCTAATTGTTTCCCCTCATTGCTGTTAAGTCGAGGGCAAGTTTGATTGCTTTCCTGCATGGCTTCCTACCTATTCAAGTTGTGGTTATTAAATAAAGATGGCTACTAATCAAGAGTGACTTCAAAATGAAGGCGAGTAGTAACAGTTATTGGTATAGGAGTTTTCACCAGGTGGCGCTTGTGACGTTTCACTCCATATTCTTTATGAAAATATGCTTATGATATGAATATGACATAACAGATTCTTTATGCAAGATATCATTGGAAAGGTTATAATTTACTGAATGTGATTATCCAATTTGTATGCACGTATCATTTCTGTATCTAAAGTTAGGAATATGGACTATGCAACAATTACAACTGGGTGTGTATTGGGAAGACACCCACCAGACGACAGGCCATCAAATTTGACGAGCCATTAGGAAGGAACAACAGAACCAGGAAGATTCTAATCTCTCCCCCTCCTGGGAGGTGTCCGGGACGTAACTATGACATTAGTAGGTCAGGTGGTATCGTCACCAGATACTAAACATTACCTGGGACTTGTAACTTTCCACTGGAAGGGAAGGCGGGGGGGGGGGAGAGGAGGGACAAAGGATTGCCACCTTATCTAAATCCTAGTTAAGTGTGGGGAGGAAGACAAACAGGACTCCTCCTCTCCGGGGCCTGTCTTCCCAAGAAGAAAGACTGCTAAAGACACCTGAAGGGAAGGCTGGGGGAGTCCAGACTGAGACAGGGGTCCAGTCTGAAAAGAAATATAACTGGAACTCTGAACCAAAGAAACTTTGCAACCTGCCTAAAATAACATTTAGGGTAAGAAATTACATTTTGTAACCTGTTTCTTAAGTATATTGAGCTTAGTTTGCGTACTTTGGTTTATTTGCTCAGTAATCTGCTTTGTTCTGTTTACTATCTCTTTAACCACTTAAAATCCACCTTTTGTAGTTAATAAATGTATTTCTTGTTTATAACATAACCCCGTGTGTACAGTTCATAATTGAATGGGGGTGGGGTGGGGAATAAGAGGCTGTGCATACCTTCCTCCACATTGAGGGAAGAGCCGGATTTTATACTATATCTTTGGGTCTGCACTCCT